AATAGCTATTGCTCTACGTATTAATTTTTTATTAAAGAGGGCCTAGGAGGCAGCGCTGGGAGTCCAAACCCAGCAACCTGGTCTAGTGGAAGGTGTCCTTCCTATCCAGGGGGGTTGGAACAGGATGATCTTTAAGGTCCCTTCCAACCCAAAGTATTCTGTGATTCTATGATAACACTTCCAGTCCAGGAGCAGCAGGAACTGAAAGTGAAGACGATGGGAGTGAAGTGCCCATCAGCTAAGGAAATAGTGTCAGGCTGGAAAAACAAAACCTTTCCATTTCTGCCCAGTTAATAAGAGTAAGGTGTGTTTCTTTGCATCTCTTTAATATTCCAACCCATACCATACGGTGATGCTCAAAGTCTGCTGATATGCTGCAAAATGAGTCATGGTAATCATGAGCATCCCTTTGGAGATACAAGGCATGGAGGGATCAAAGAGATGCAAAGTATGGTGGGATCGAAGGCTTTTGCTGGTTGATGTTGTTTTCTACAAGTCTTTTCTGTAATCTCAGCTTTCCCAGCACGGACAGGCAACTTCGGGGGCATCGTAAGGTGCTCCATACCTACATGCTTCAAGGGATGAGCAGAAAAGATTAATGCATCTTTTACCTCCCTTAAAAAAAAAAAAAAAGAAAAGAAAACAAAGAAAGAAAACAACAACATTTCTTATAGCAAAAGCTCCCTGGCTGCATAGAATTTGTAAATATTAGCCCCTGAGGAAGATTTTTCTGAACTTCTTTGAGTAAATAACATTTTTTAGCAGACTGGTACTTCACCTTCAGGTCTTGATTTTCAGGGATCTCTTGTCCCCCATCCCAGACCTGTGTTTTCCAGCAAGAGGATCCAGCACCGGTACCCAATGGCCATCGAATGCCTGGCCGTGGTGGTGGGAGGGACACAGTGAAAAGCAGACGGAGGAGATAAGAGGGTTTTCAGCCTTTTTGCTTTCCAGCGTGTTTGCTCAGCGACGTTGAGTGCTGGGCCAGAGCCACCACCTCCCTGCAGACTAAACAGTTGCAGTGTTTTCTCCCATGACCGAAAGAATTTAGTAAAGGGTCCCGGTATGAAACTTTACACGAACTCTGGGTGCCACAAATATCTGTGGCTGGGAGTCTGTTAACTCCTCCAGTTCCTTGATCATCCATGTGGTTCATTCTCTGGGCAGATGAAAGGAAAGCCCATCCCACAACGAATCTGGACAGCTGCCTGCCGGACCCCCGTGCTCTCCCACCCACCGAGTTTTTGTGCATCCATCTTTCTGGGTTTTTTGCTTTTTTGTAAAGGAGGGAGCCAAGAATTCTGGCCATAATGGGGCGCTGGAGTACTCAGTTCAGGAAAGACCTGTTAGAGTGGGTCCAGAGGAGGATGCTCCAAGGGCTGGAGCCCCTCTGCTCTGGAACCAGGCTGGGAGAGCTGGGGGTGTTCAGCCTGGAGAAGAGAAGGCTTCAGAGAGACCTGAGAGCCCCTTCCAGGGCCTAAAGGGGCTCTAGGAGAGCTGGAGAGGGACTTGGGACAAGGGATGGAGGGGTAGGACACAAGGAATGGCTTCCCACTGCCAGGGTGCAGGGTCAGATGGGATATTGGGAAGGAATTGTTGTCTGTGAGGGTGGTGAGGTCCTGGCACAGGTTGCCCAGAGAAGCTGTGGCTGCCTCATCCCTGGAAGTGTCCAAGGCCAGGTTAGATGGGGCTTGGAGCAACCATGTCTAGTGGAAGGTGTCCCTGCCCATGGCAGGGAGTTGGAATTAGATGGTCTTTTAAAGCCCTTTCCAACCCTGATTCTATAATGCCTCATACCTCTGTTTATAGCCACCTCTGTGCACTGACATCCATCCAAAAGTTGTCAGCTTCCCTGCATCACAGAGTTCGAGAGCTTCCACTTCAGGGGTAGGATTTGGGGATGGAGAAAGCCTGGGGGGCTTCATTCATCCATTGGTCCTGGCTTGAGGAGAAGCAGAGGCCAAGCCTCAGTTCCTTGCACTCCACAGCCAGCTCAGCAGATTGATGGTCCCAGTGCCATCTCATGGTGAACACCATCAAGCATGTACTTCCTGGGAAGGTGTCAGCATCCCACAGGAGAACATTCTGCTGCCAGCTGCCAGGCACCCAGGAAAATCCCTCCTCGGACTGAGCCAGTGTAAGCCAGGAGCGCCTGTGCGGAAAAGCTCCCGATGGCAAACAGGATTAGCTGCCTGCTTTTCCCCAGCTGGTTTCATTCATCCACAGACAGGCTGGCCTTTCAATGGACACAGCTTCAGTTCGAGTGCAGGAGGAATTCCTCCAGCCCTGGTGCCTGGACCAAGCAGCACCTGCTTCCAGAGCCACTTTTCCTCCTCTTATATCCCTCTTTCTTGTCTTGGCCTGTCCCCATAGATCTCTTGTCACCTCCACCTTATACAGAGGACACATTGCTTGTGCAGAGCTTAGAATAAGAATGCATCCTGCTGGCAAAATCCAGCTGGTCCCTCCTGCATCCTCCCAGGCTGCAAGGCTGGGCACACATCTCAAGATGTGGCGTTTGCAAGCAGGATCCATCTGTCAGCCACAGTTGATGTTCCCAGTCATCACCCCAAGTTGGTGTTGGGAGTGGGATGGGCATTTTTTCAGGTGCAAAAGTGACCTCTGAACAGATGTGGGGATGGTGTTGAGACTCAGACCCTGCCCTAATGTGGGGAAGGGTTTGCTAACTGCCCACCAAACCATCCCCACCCATATAAAGTAGCCTCCAAATATTTTTTTCTGGGATTTCTTCATACCGTTATGGTTTTACACTGAGCTCCTGCCCATGGGGTGAGAGATTTACATTAATATGTTTTTCCATGGAGCTGGGGTGTCAGTGCTGCTGCAGATTGCTGGGATGAGCAGGGATCCACTGTGTTTGATCCCCTCTCTTCCTACCACCTCTGTGGTAGTGGAGGAGGGGATTGCTGGCCTAGGGTTGGGATGCTCTAAGGGACATGGATGCTTTGTCCCCATCACAGAGGGAAGGACTCTTGTTGTCTCCCGACATCTGAAGGTAGCCCAGGGTTTCCCACACACACTTGTAAAGGCAAAGGGCACATCACTGCCTTGAGGTTCCCACAGTAGCAAGACTTACATGAGTAAAATGAATATAACAAGGATCTTCTGAAATGCTGCAGAGGAGCAAGGCTGCTGAGTGACAGCTGCCTCCTCTGGGCATTACAGCCATGGGGTGTCTGCAGGGCTGGGTCAAACGGTTGCCCCAGCTGCTCTGATGACAACCCAACAAGGAAATTAATTTGCATTTCTTTGTGGTCCCTTGTCTCCTCTCCAGTCCCTCTTCACAGGACTGAGAGATTGGCTTCTGGTTCCCAAACACATCATTAGTTCCCTATCTGTGTGTCCTGCAGATTGCAGATCTGTCTGTGTCCCTCTGCTCACTGTAAGATCCAGCTGAGGCTGGTAATGATGTTTTGCTGTGTCTGGGTTCGTGGGATAACAAGCCTTTAAAGTGATGATAAACTGCTGTTATCCAGCTGAGCTGACACCCTGGCACGTGTTTGGGAATCCGGAAAGGTGTGAGATAGGAAGGGCGGCAATAAAAATTAAGTGACAAGGAAGACAACTCCGTCACCTGGGTAGCGCTGGAGGAGGCGCTGGCAAACACCCAGGGCAAAGTGGTGTTTGCTGTTGGTAGTGCACAGACCATGCTGCTGAATTCACCCTCCTGGTCCGCTCAGAGCCCTCACCCGGACAGTCCTCCAGGATCTCTAGCAACTGCGAGGTTAACAGCAACATTTTTATTTGCACATCCGTCATTATGTCCCCACCAGGGTGATTTAAACCTGAGATAAATCAATAATTAACTGCTTGCACCTCCGAAGCCCCCAAGGACCTCACAGACATCACTAGCTCAAGCCATGAGACGCCCACGTTGGGTGGGTAATTGCTGCTGATCCCAGATTGGGAGCCAGATATAGAGAGGTCACGGTGAGACCAGAGGGCAGGAGGTTCAAGTGACCACTCACTTGGTCACCTCGGGGTGTTTGTAGACACAGGAAGTGCCCACAGCTCCTGTTGGCTCTGATCATCAGCTGCCTCAGTTACCCAGACCTGGGAATTTAAAAATCATTGTGTTCCTAATCCTGGGAGTTTGCCTATCCTTTAGAAGAACCAGGAGTTTTCTGACCTTACTTTCCCCTTCCTGCTCAGATTCTTCTGAGAGAAATAAGCACTGTTTGTGTCTGCCTGGTGGCTGAAGGATCTTTGGTGAGTTGTTCTTGTAGAATTGGAAGAATTCCACATCCCTGGAAGTGTCCAAGGCCAGGTTGGATGGGTCTTGGAGCAACCTGGTCTACTGGAAGGTGTCCCTGCCCATGGCAGGAGACGGGGACAAGATGAGCCTTAAGGTCCCTTCCAACCCAAACATTCTATGATTCTGTGATTCTATTATTTGGTCAGTGACATCTAATGGAAGTTACAAGTCATCTGGTGATCAACTGATGGGTGGTAGGTGTCCATGGGGTGATGGTCACAGCCCTGGTAACCTGGACCTTCACTGTGCATTTTGGAGACCCCTCTGATTAAAATAATTCACAGACCTGTGGCCATCATGAAATCAGGTCCACACCGAAGGCCACCAATGGGATTTCCTCCCCTTCCCAAAAGGGCCAAAACACCCCGAGAAGAAGCTGGTGCACATTCGTGGGATGCAGATCCAACCTGGAGGAAACGACGTGATGAAAGTCTGTGGGAGTGAAATGCCTCATGGCTGGGTGAAGCCAGGACCTTTGCAAGGCTGGGCACAGGGTGTCATCTGTAATTTAAAAGCTTTATCTGCTTTAAATGTCAATAGCTCCTTTCTTGGAGTCATAATAATTGCCATGATTTGCATGTCTCAGTCACACGCCCCAGAGCGCTTTGCAGAGGGAGATGAGTAAATCATTCCCCTTTACTGGATGGGAAATCAGGGTACAGAGGTGATGGGAGCCCACACAGGGCTGGAAATGAACCTCAGTCTCCTGTGCTGCTCTTTTCCAGGTTCTACATGGAAGCTGTTGGCTCAAAGCAGGTTTCCTATCATCATCTTCCTCTGCTTTGTCTTGTTGTCCCTGTACTGGCAGCGTGGGCAGGAATGGTGTGGTGGGATCTCAATGTGGTTCTGTCCTTGGGTCAGACAAAGAGGCCTGGAGTGTTGCTGCGGGAGGCTGAAGGGAGAGCAGAGCCCATGGAAGAGCTGATGGTCCTGCCATGTCCCACCATCTCCGGCAAAGGAGTTTGTGTAGTGGTGTCCATGGAGTGAAATATTCCCAGTGAAGCTGTGAGTGGCACAGAGGAGCTCGTTGAGACCCTGACCATCCATGGGCAGAGCAGTTTGATCACTCCCTGTACTGTCACAAGTTCTTCCAGCACCTCCCGAGCTTCTTCTGAATGCCAGTGCTACAAACTACTCATCTCACTGGGTTATACTCCTCAGAAAGCAAAGCTACACTCCAGAACCTCCTCCTAGCCAGGACCTAAATACAAGTAGAATTTAAATTGTAAGCAAGGAGCAATGCAGTGATGTTAACTGTGCAAAATATCATTTATGGAGTCTAGGAAGGTCTGGGGAGGGAGTGGGTGGAGGGTGTGCTTCTCCGGGACAGCAGCAAAGGACGGAGGCTGTCTCAACCTCTACCCACCAGCTCCCTCCTCCAACCCACTTGATTTATCTCAGGCCCCTTCCAAAGAGCCATTTAGGGCTCCAGCCTTTTGCAGCACATTGCCAGGAAGATCAACTATTTAGCACAGCCTCTCTCAGCTTTTTATATAGCTCCTAGCACGGATATCTAAGCATTATATATTTCTTTTTGTGCAGTATTTCTGACTCAGTATTTCCTGCCTCCTTGACAATGACTGAGTAAACAGCAGAGCTGCCAGAGGAAGAGCCCTGTGTTTACAGAGCAACAAGCCCAAATGTGTCTTTTTTTTTTTCCATCAGAAGGTGGCGATGCTTAAATTAACCCTCATTTTTATCCCACACTAAACTTTTGCCCTCAGTTGCTGCTGACAGAGTCAGCCATGAGTCGGTGGACCCAGATCTGGGGAAAAGTTATTTGGAACTCGTCTTAAAAAAAGTGTGGCAAACTCCCAAGGGATGAATTTTCAGCTGCAGCTGTCTGGGCTGGAGTGAGGGCTTAGATCCGATGGCAAAACGCTGCTTCTCATCCCACTTGACTCTGCTGCCCACCAAAAATGTTAGAGGATGGGTCTGCCTCCTCTCCCATGGAATGGCCATTCCTCTTGGCTCTTCTAGCTTGGTCCTAGGCTTGGAGAGGTCTCAGGATAGTGTTGCATGCCCTGCACCTACACTGGGATGAGGAGTGGGCTTTCATTTGGGTGCAGGAGTGGAGATGCCCAAGATAAAGGTGTTTTGAATTTCCATTGCTGGCAGGAACTTCAGCCAAGCTTACAAAGGGTCCAACAGGGGATGTCAGAAGATGGGCTGAGCCATGGGCCATCTCTATGATGTGTGAATACAGGCCACCCTGACCTACTGATCACATATGGTGAGGCCCAACATGATGAACATGCTCAGCCTTCAGGTTTATGCCCCAAACTTGTCCTGTATGAGACCTCTTTAGAGGTCCCCTTGGCATCCTCCCACTTGCCACGTGGTTTCCCGATGAATTCTTCTCCCAAACCAGGCAGAGAAGGGTGGTCAACCCTGCTACCTGGTATAAATACATTTTATTTTAAACTATAGGCACTGAATGAAGGTCATCCCGTAAACACACCCAGATTATCTACAGGCCAGAGCACCCCCAAATTAGTAATACAATTCGTGTTTAAAAATACAGCCAAACTGATGAAAGATAATTTGCTTGCTGCCCTGACATCACCACCTAGGCATGGGGCAAGCCAATCCACAGGTTATTTTTATATAACTCCATGAGGCATTTCCAGAGCAAATAAAGTTCACTGGGCAGGGCAGTGACCCAGCAGTCTGGTTTCAGAGCTTTTCAGCCCCCTCAAGGCTTGTCACTGGTGTGTGGAGGTCTGCAGGTCAGGGCATGGCTTCATCAGAAGTGCCCCGGGCATGCAGGACGTGGGGGTTGTTCCCTGCTGAGCCGCTCTTCCCTGCTGGCCAGCTCCTCAACTTTCCCCTGTGGTTGCTCTGCCTCATCCCTTTTGGTTGCACACCCTTTGGTCTCCATGTTCTCCAAGGGTCTCAGGTCCTGCTGGGAGCATGGCTGACCTGCAGCCAGGTGAATTGCTCGTGTAAATCCACGGATCAAACAACCTGGATGGTCTCCTCAGACATGGACACCCCAAGGGAGGTGGGACACCTCTGCATGGGTGGCATTCAGGTTGGCTTGCCCATCTGTACACTCTGTGGTACTGGTCAAACCTGCTGTCTGGAACCCAAATTTAAGGACGGAGCACCTTCCTTGTGCACCCCTCATGCCAAATCTAAAGCAGATGGGTCTGTCAGGATGCTTCAAGATAGTCCTGGCACTGCAAGTCCAGCTGCCATGGAAGTTCCTGCCAGGCCCAGCCCTGGCCTGTAGGCAGGTGTGGCCTAGAAAACCTCTAGGAAGGTTCTTTTCCTACTTTGTCAGAGGAATCCGTATCACTCCCTTCTTTTACAGAGTGCATGCAAATCATCTCCTTTTTCAAAATTTGGCCCAACCTGAGTCTGCAGATGGAGCAAAATTACTCCTACTGTGGCATCACATTCTGGGTGAAAGTGATCTCGGTGACTTCTGCATCCATGCCACATTCCATCCCCCTCTCCCATCCTTCATGATGGTCCATCAAAGTCTGCACAAGCTTTTTTGTGACTGAAGGAGACAGGGGACCCCAGTCCCTTTTCTTTTACAAGGGTCTTCTTCAGCTGCAAAGTTGGGGGCAGTGTTCATTCATGTCTCTGCTGAGTGGCATCACCCACAGGCTGCCACAGGATAATAAAAAGAGAGTGATGAGTGGTGACTTCCCTTCTTGCCCAGCTCCCATCCCAGGCCTGATGAGTTTGGTTTGGTTTGCTGGTTGTTTTATGGAATTTTTAGGGGATTAGTTGGTTTGATTGTTTGGGGGTTTTTACAGAAAATATTTTTTTAAGAGAAAATGTTGAAGTCTCAGTTTTCTCTGTTGCAAGGTTGCAGAGCAGGGCACTGTGTTTGAAGCAGAAACAGGAAGGGGGAGAGTTTCCTGCAGTGGTTTTTATTCTTTCCCAGTAATCTGGGACCACAGAGCCCATGCAGTTATCCCAAGCTGCTAGGAATTTCCCAGCATGCCCCAAGGATCCCAAAGTACAGTGCAGCTCTCCAGGTACATCAGTGTGGACTTTCCCAGGCAGGACAGGGAGTGCTGGGGGCAGGATGGGTTGGGGGCTGGAGCTGGGTGGAATGCTGCATGAGATGCAGGAAACAGTACCAGGGGATAGAGAGTTCTCAGAGTATCAAGGAAATGCTCCAGGGTTCAAAGGGAGCTTTTTTCCTTCACTTTATTGGTGGACAAGGCAGATGAGGGGCATGAAATGCTCTTGCTTGGTTTTTTAATTTCTCAGTAATTCAGGGCATCATTTCTCTTTGACTTCTTTTTTGCATTAAAATTCAAGTGAAAACTCCAAAATGAGTAATTTGGTAGCTCTGGGATGATAACTTTAGCTGGCAAATAACTCCTCCATCACTGCCCAGGGACTGGCTGGATAATGAAAGGATGAACTCTGCAAACTCCCCCAGAGAGTCTGGGAAGACCCAACAGGATTTGGCTGCAGGTTGACGCTGGAGTCGCAGACACAGTTGGGCAACTCACTTATGGAAATGGGTGTAGAGAGGAATTAGTCATCATTGTTTGGCTAATAAGTGCCTTCGTTATTTTACAAGTCTTTTTCCTGCATATGCAAATACGTATTTTATTTTTCCTTTTGTAATGAAACATATAAATAGCTCCTGCCTTGGATTTTCTGTTCATGAAGTTGTGTCATGAAAATAATCATTGTGCTTTTGCCTGGCTTTCTTTAGTAGCTGCTTCACTTACCTTTGTTCTAAATGAAAGATCTCCTGTGTCTTGTCCAGGGCACGAGGGTGAACTTTGGTGTGGTGGCTTTTATATCTTCCCTGGCTTTGCAGGGAGCAGCAGCAAGGCCCTCTGTCTCAGGCAGGAGGAACAAACTCAGATGAAAAAGACAGAGGATGATTTATTTAGTTGCTGGATTTCAAATGTTGTGAAACCCACTCTGGGAACACACGGTGTGGAGAACGAACTTGTCCTCCGCTTTAATATTCCCCTGCTTAGTGTCTACTAATTTTTAGTACCAGGGAAAGGTCACTATGGAGACAGACAAGCAATATCACGTGGGATGTCATTCAAGAAGCTCTGCAGCATCACTTAGAGCCCAGGGAAACCTTCTTGACTCTGAGCACGATGCACTCCCTTGTGCCATCCTCAAGAAAGGTTTTTATTTGCTTTTCTGTGTTGTCCCGTGCTCTTTGCCACACACTCCCAACACAAACGTCCCTTTTCACATCCTGCCTTTGGACAAACCCCTGTTTTCTCCCCAGCTGGAGGACTGATGGGTAGGCATCTATCTCCCTGCTTCCTCCTGATGTTGATCCATAAATCACGTCACTGGGATAATCCTTAGTCATAGCAACCATCAGCTCAGGAGCAGGGTGACCTTTTAATGCCAAGCCCAGGCTGCCCTGATCTTCTGGTTGGGCAGGGAGCCAGTCTCTGCCATTATTTTGTGAGACACCAGCGAGCAGCCAGACCATTAGGATGTTCCTGGCCAGACACTGAGTCTGCTGAAGATATTGGAATGAATGGGCTGGGTAGGTCCACCTGGATCACCAAGCCCAGCATGGCCACCAGCTTTTCCCCTGCATTTTATTTAAGGTCTTGGTTGTGCATATGGAAAAAAGTCCCTGTGTCTGCCCTAGAGGGACAGCAGGGCACAGGGGACACCGTTTCTAGTGCAAGCCATGGCAGCTATTGCAGGAGCTGGTGGTATTTCTACAGTACCTGCCTTCTGGAGGCTTTGCTGTTTTGAAACCCCAGCCACTCCACGTGCATTGAGTAATCTCCCCACTGTTACCAAAGAGTCAGTCAGTCTGTCTGTCTTCCTCCCCCCACCCTGAGTTTCAATTTCCTCCTAATTCTCTCTTTAGACAGCCGTTGCCTCTCCGTGGCGATGCGGTTTTGCTGATGCAGCCTCCTGTCTCTGTCCCTCTTGCAGAAGGATTTCACCATGCGGGAGGAGCTGCAGCAGCGGGACGTGGAGCGCTGGCTGGGCTTCATCACCTTCCTCTGTGAAGTCTTCGGGACCATGAGGAGCAGCACTGGAGAGCCCTTTCGAGTCCTGGTCTGCCCCATCTATACCTGCCTCAGGGAGGTAAATGCCTTCAGAGTTTGTCCTTCTCCACCAAGCTGTCACGTTGCAGTTTGGAGATGCCCACGGTTCGTAGATGACAGTGGAAAGGTTGTGGCTGCCCCATCCCTGGAAGTGTTCAAGGCCAGGTTGGACTGAGCAACCTGGTCTGGTGGGAGAAGTCCCCGCCCAT